TTATTTACTAGCTTCTCTAATATTTTAGACATAGAAGGCAGTAGTGAGATAGGTCTATAGTTTGTTACTTGGGATTTACTGCCTGATTTATGTACTGGAACTATGACTGATTTTTTGAGACATGCCGGGAATATGCCGGAAGATAAACACAGTCGAAAAATATAAGTCAAAGGAGGAGTTAGAATATTTCTAAACTGCTTAATAATTTTACTAGAGATATCATCCCAGCCAGCAGCGCTATCGTCCTTCAGAGTCATAATAATATTTTGTACCTCAGTCTCGTCAGTGTCGAACATCACAAATGATGCTATGGGTGCGCATTTCTTTGGGGTATTTTGTTGAGGAGGACCTTGACCCTGGATTTTTTCTGCTAGACTTTTGCCCACATTAGCAAAAAAGTTGTTAGTCACATTAGCGGCCGTGCGCGGTGTCGTATATCCCTCTAGTAAACCCGAGGCTGAATCACTTTGTTTTGACGCGTATGTAATATTTTTAATGCACTTCCATAATTGTCTGCTATTTGAGCCAGCCTTTTCTAGTTTAGTTTTATCGAATTGACTTTTGATCTTTTTAAGGAGATCGTTGCAAAAGTTTCGATATCTTTTGTAAGATATTTGTATATCCGTATTGTCTGGATTAGATTTAGCCTTAATGTGCAGTTTGTCCCTATGTTTCATGCACCTGATTAGTCCAGTTGTAATCCACGGTTTGATGTTATGGTTTTTGTTACGTAACTTTGTCAGTACTGTGTTTTGCTGAATTGCATGACGCACGCTTTCAATCACGTACGACATGCAGTACTGTGGGTCAGCGGAATTATAGACTGGCTCAAAGTCGATGTTGCGTAAATCGTCCTCAAGTTTATCTAATTGCAATTTGTTAATTAAGCGAGTATTTTGTTTAGGTAGGTGACAATTTAGAGTTAGTAGGACAGCGTTATGATCGGTTATTGATGAGTTAGTTACAAGTGCAAGCGAGGGGAAAGCCGATTTTAGCATGATGTGATCTAAGCAGGAACCTCTTTGGTGTGTAGGGAAGTTATGCGTGGGGAGCAGGCCCTGCAGGGCACATACATTGAGGTATTCCTGAGCAGACGCATCAATACTCAGCGGCGTAATGTTAATATTTATGTCTCCTATTACAATTACATTTTTGAAGGATGAGAGGTTCTGTAATGCGTCATTCAGAGAGTTATTAAAGTTTTGTGTGTTTTTAAACGACGGGGGTCGGTATAATGCTAGTATTGCAATCTCTGATCCGATTTTAAGTAATAGTCGGTTGCAGTCGTGCATGTTTGGTTCCTCTACAGATATATTAAGGTGGTTCCTTGCATAAACTACTACACCATCGTTTTGATTGTAATTTTTATTACTGCTATATGTGTTATATCCAGGTATTTGTGGGATATTATTTTGTTTAGCAAGCCAACATTCGGTTAATACCATTATATCACAGTTTATATCTAATCGATGCAAAAGTGTAGAAAAGCTATCAAAATTCTTAAAGATACTGCGGATATTTTGTGTTAGTATAGTTAGTGGGTTTTCGATGCTATAGAGATATTGTTTGCAGTTTTCAACTTCACACATCTTAGAGTCAGACACAGAGAATTGGTCTAAATCGCTAATGATATTATTTATCATAGTTGATATAAATCTAGGAATAGGACTAAGAATACAATTAGGTGTTAGCGCTCTTAGGCGCCTTCATAGTTTACCGAGTTAATATACCTTTTTTCGGCCATAGTCTTTGCAGGGCATTCGGTGGCACCGGTCATGTGGCCAGCTGGCTTTTTGAAATGCAGGCAGGTTGCACATTTGGGTTCATTAGACTTCTTTGTGCAGTCCTTGATGGCGTGTCCTTGTTCTCCGCAGTGGCCGCAGGTGAAGGATGTTTGACGGCATGATTTGATAGCATGTCCGTACTGCTGGCACTTAAAGCACCTGGTCACTAAAGTGAAGTCTCGAACAGGGCACGATGACCAGTTGATGAAGACTCTTTCCTGTGATATTAGGGCCTTGCGTATAGACGGGGTTACTTCGATCACGTAGTTGCATGTCTCAGCGTCTCTCCTTCCTGATTTATGACTTAATCTCGTCATGGACAAGAAAGTCTCTAAATTGCAGTCCTTGATTTTATCTGCTAAATTTTGGTGGTACAGGCTTGTTAAGGCTTCGTTGTCGGGCATACTGCATGGTACTCCGATAATGACGACCCTGGGGTTTCTTTTTTTCGGCTCATCGCATATTAGGCCTGAGCTTGATAGTTGCGCAGAATGTCTCAGCTTTTCAATATCGCTCTGCGACTCGGTATTGATGATAACACCACCGTTTTTCGTTTTATGTAGGCCTCGTACCTGCAGTTTCAACTCCTCAGGGCGTATAAGTTTTTGGACCAGTGATTTTGTTTCTTCACTCGTTTTCATTTTGTCGCTAGGGTATATGGCGACTGAGCTCACTTTTGCGGGCTGAATAAATTTATTAGCTCCTTTTTTGACCATGTCGGCAAATGAGTGTTCTTGGGCAGGCTTGGAGGTCTCAGTAATCTTCTGTTTAAGGTCTTGGAGTTGATGAGAGAGGTCAATCTGACATTCCAGGTCACAAAGGCGTTGGTGGTCTACCAAAGCTCTACATTTTAGACCTTGGTATAGCACTGCCATCTGTGACGAAGCACTGATGACCTTCCGGGATAGGGCATTTACTCGCAACTTTTGTTCCGAGTTCATCTTGCCAGCGTCGACAAGACTGCATATCTCGGTGAGGTTTTGGTCGATGGCAGCTACCCATTTTTGCAGTTCCGGGGTTTGTATGACTTCTGGGCCATCGGTACTTCGGGGTGTTGACTGTATGATAGGAGCGTTCATCGGTACAGGTGTACCAGGTGGCGAGCGTGCAACCCTGCTACTCTGAGCAAAAGGGCTGTTTTCCATGTTGCAGTATGTTTAATTTTCAATCGTACAGCATTGTCAATTTACACATTACACAATAGGTATTAATGTTCAGTTGTTATTCTAGGTCACGATTTTTGTAAATGATTATTTAACATTAATTGTACTAATAAATTGTTCAATACGTCCGATCTAAGCGATGGCTCGTCAATCAAGTGATGTGATGACCATAGCGTTTGGGTCAACTGAAATTTGCATGACCATTTTTGAATTCCTAACGTAGCCCAGTAGATGGTGCTAGTCCAGCAGTGGACTTAAATAGGCTGATGATGATTAATAACTATATACGGACGCCCAATAGCTATTGGGCTCTATAACTGTGAAAGATCATCTAGCTACATTTAAAAAGTATGTTATTCGTACTGCGGCATCTTCTCATGTAAAAATCTCATAGAAACCTCAATTTTTTTGCATCTTGTTACCAATATTATACCAATACCGGGCATTAGTATAGATTTTACGAATATTGTAATACTGTTAAAACTCTGTCCCTGACGAGTGACAAGAGAGAGGAAAAGAAAGAGACAAGTGAACCCAAAGCTGGCAACGTTGCACTCGCAAATACCATCCACGCTGTGAGGACGTTAATTAGCCGAAGCCATGGTTAAATCACGATCAATATATCTAGGAGCCCAATTAGTTATCACGATGGTTTGGGGTTCAAAAATGTTGCAGCATGACTGCAAGAAGAATATCGTGAAAAATAAAATTATCGGAAAATGACGTATCCTACAAAGCTGGAAATCGAATAACTAAGCAATATTCATTAAGACATATAAAAAAAATTAAGGGGAACTGGGGGACGTCGTAATGATGCGCGACATGTGTGACGCCAAAAAGATTCCAAGATGTAAATATATATATATACATATATATATAATATAAATAATAAATATTTTCTTATATTCACTTATATACATTAAAATAGTGCAATATATTCAATCATAAATACCTAAATAATTCCAAAGTAAATAATGTAAAAAATGTATGTAGTAGCAACATATTTTTCTAAATAAAACTTCCATAAGGTACTTTCAGGCTTTCAAATTCACATAATAACTCTAAATTGCACTTAATAACATAGAGTAAGACCTTCTCCAGCCAAATACATTCATAACACACAAGTTATTTCAATAAAAACTAAAATAAACCGCTGTTTTACAGCTCATTGCCAAAGTGTAACAACTTGAACATTTTACTGAATAACTAATATACCTGATGCAGCAGACGCCCTTGGAAGTTATCCTCGTCCGGAGACAAGTCCATTGCGTTTTTATTTAAAAGAATAACGCGAATCGAGCCGACATTTCCGGCCTAAACAGCCGCTCAAGCGTTGCGAGAACTACAGTAAATTAAAACGGCTGCACACACAAAATTCCTCACTGAAACTACATTTTAAATGCATTATTGTGTGCACCATATTATTTTTTCAACCGGCATTGCGGATAGAAAACGTTAATTAATTCTAAATCACGAATTTATTAGCGAATAAGAATTATTGATTTTGTGTTGACAGCTGTGCAAAACTGACAGACTTTGACGGCTAGTTGACAGGTGATTTCGTTCATAAACGGGGTCAGATGGAAAAAATATTAATTTCTATTGAAATTTTTCTCTAATAAAACAGTGATAAAATGCGGCAAAGAATCATGAAAATAATAAAAGTCGTACACTAAATAAGAATTACGGTTAATTTTTGTGGTAACAGTTATTTTCTTTAGTGATTCATCCATGAGAATGAGGTGAACCGGAATTGCATTGTTCCTTGTTATTATTAATCATCTTTTAGTTAGTATTTTAATTGTATAAGTTAAGGACGTTGAAAAAATTAAATCATACGTTAAAAAACTTAGATTTAGTATAAGCTTAGAGATAATAATATTAACGTTAAATATGTTTTAATCTAACTTTACGAATGCACAATGTCACGCAGATCGTGTGATTTTTTGAAACTACCCACCAAAGTCTACAATTATAATAACCACTACCCATTATGAATATTTATTACGCACATTGTTCTGTATTAATTAAAGTAGCTGAGAGTAAGCTAAAGATGTCTCGAAGCTACTGCAGCTACGATGAAGACTGGCAGAGAAGAAAATCCATACTTATTCGGAGTCTTTTCCACGATCTACCAAGTAAGTTGTTATTTAAGTACCTACTTCAGTAAGCTACCTTCGCTAAGTAACCAATGGTTCTACTTATCATAAAGTACCGACTTCTGAATCCCGAAGAGATAGGACAAAGATGTAGATAAATATAACACCAAGTCACCAATTAACCAATACTTATGTTTTGAGTCGCTGCTTTGTTGGCCGATTGGTCGCAAGTGCGACTGCCGGGCAAGGAGTCTCGGGTTCGGGGTCGGCCAAAGAATGGGTTTTTAAAAAAAAATGTCAGTAGTAGCAAGGAGTATGGGAATGTGCCCGGTATATGGCAATAGGTTCACCCCCTATTACAAGGGACTCAACATAATTAGTGAAAAGTGTTTTTACTTCTGTGTGCACCTCTGCCTACCCTTTCGGGGATAAAAGGCGTGATGTTATGTTTTATGTTATGTTTTGAGTCCCATATAATAGGGGGCTGCCTCATAGATCCCAGGTTTGACTGTTAAGTGAAGGATCTGAGTCATGATCTCCAAGGCGAGCAAAGCCTTCGTACTACTGATTTTGACCCAATGTTCTATTCCATATTTCTATATTCTATTTATCCATATTTCTATTTCTATTACAGTTCTTTCTCCAGTCACAGAAGAATCTGATGACTCGTACCCTCCCGTGAGATCTTACGAGCCTCTGAAAGAACCACAAAGACCCTACAGCCCTCTCCCTCCCCTCATAATAGAGAGAATACCGAAAATAAACAAACACGACGAACCAGAGGAACACTACAAGAAACTATACATAAAAATCAAAAGAATATATAGTAGGTTATTCATTTTAAATCAGAATATAAGTAGCGATGAAGAATTCTTTAGTGATAGATCTATAACTGATCATGATAATAATTTACACAGCCCCATTGGAATCAATAATTATGACAATGTCTTAAATAATCCTATTACTAATGCAATTAATGATCCAGTTAATGAAGATGAAGATAGCAATGATTTAGATGATGATGATCATAGCGATGCTAATGATAATACAATTTCTAACGAAGAGAATGTTAGAAAAAGTTCTAATTCCAATGTGTCTAATGGATATCACGCTGATTCTGAATCTATAGAGACTGTTATTGTTGATGTTCTGAATTATACTAAATCTACCAATCAAGAAGCTTCTAAAAATACTGAAGAAGCTTCCAAAACTTCCGAAGAATTAGAAGAGGAGTCGGAATCAATAAGTTTGGAGGAAGAAGATGAGAGTAATCCTGATAAAAGTAATGATCAAAGAAGCAGTGATCAGGAGGCAAGTAATGATGAATCATCTAGCACTAAAGAAGAAGATAATGGTGACGAATCATTTGTAGAAGAACAATCAAGTATATCATTAACTTCTAATCAACAGACAAATGCAATGTTAACTGCTGTAAGAACAGCCATAAATATCATAGATGATACAGAAGATACGAATGATCAGGAGATGATTGAAGAAGAATCAGACGATAAATCAATTAGTAATCAAGATACTAAGAATAAATCTAGCTATAGTACTGAAGAAAATAATCAAGAACTTCCTAATCAAGAAGAGTTAGTAGAAATCATAAGTCAAGAAGATATAAGAAATCAAGAGATGTTAGGAGAAGAAAATAATGATAAAAGAATTACAAATCAAAGTAACAAATCTAGTATTACTACAGAAGAGAGTAATCAAAACATTTCTCAAAAAGAAATAACTAATAATCTAAGACAAGACCAACGAAATAGATTTGAAGACTTGAACAAATCAAGAATGAATATAGCAGACGCAGATGAAGACGAATTTGATAATTCTTCTACAAGTGACGAGGAATGGGATGGTGTTGATGAATCTGAAAGCCTTGACGAAGAGAACAGTAAAGAACTAACTGATTCTGCTCTAGAGGAGATAGAGAACGCACAAGAATTAGAAGAAAAACTTGCTGATATGCCAACTGATATGATGGAAGAAGATGAAGCGGACGTCATGTCAGATATAGGTATTTATAAAATTGTGTATAGTATCATCATCATCATCATCTTGTGTTGTATACCTAAGCCTTCATAAAGTTGGGCTCGCTGCCATCGCAGCGGTAAGTCCCCTCTTTGAGGAGTGGCTTGAGAGACGCTACGGCGTCCTCACCTACCGCCTGACGCAGGTCCTCACCGGACATGGAAGTTTCGGGAGGTACCTGTGTCTGATGGGGCGGGAGGAAACGCCCGGGTGTCATCACTGCGAGGACCACCCTGAGGACACGGTGGAACACACTGTTGCGGAATGCCCTGCGTGGGCTGAGCACCGCCGTGCCCTCAGGGAAGTGATCGGCGATGGAGACCTCTCGCGTCCGGGCCTAGTTCAGGCCATGATGCGGAGCGAGGGGGACTGGGATGCCGTCTCCTCCTTTTGCGAAGCAGTCATGCTGGCTAAGGAGGAGGCGGGACGCGTGAGGCAGCGAAGCGCTGCCTCCTCGCAACCCAGCCATCGCGAAGGACACACCGGGCGTCGGGGATCGCGGGACGATCTCCGGCCACCGTAAGCGCGGGCCTGCGGACGGCGAGCATGGGTGGCTCCCCGTCCGACCAGAAACAGACCCGAGCGTACGGCGCGTCGCGTTCCGCGCGCGCCTCAAAGAGCCATCAGACCACCACAGATGGGGCCCAATAGGGCCGATGCCGATTCGGAGTCGCGGAGAACCTAACGGGTAACCGGGGCTCCGGCTCGACGTGCAGGAGAAGGAACGGGGTGGTTTTTAGTCAGTAAGAGTCTGACACTCCCTTCCGCCTCACCCGGGCGGGAGCAGTCATTCGATGATTTTCCCCCCTTAAAAAAAAAAAAAAAAAAAAAAAGCCTTCATAAAGTAGTCATATGCGCAACTGCCAAGCAAGGGGTTTCGAATTCGATTCCTCGGAGGGGCAGTGTGTTGTGTTGTGTGTATGAAAATTAAAAATCTAATTAGTCCGTAAGTTAGATAATGAAAAAATATTAGACACGTATTTTTTTTTATTTCGTCGTATAATATAACAATACTTAGATAAAACGAATCAAAGTTCCTTAGTCTCTGCCTACCCCCATGGGAGACAGGCGTGAAGTTATGTATGTATGTATGTAAGTTTAGGAGTGGGGGCTAAAACGTCTTTTCTACGTATAAAATGTGCATAGAAGTGACGTCACACGACATTTCAATCTATCGTCGAAAGTATTCGTTTGTGTAAGAAAATAAAAAATACGTGTCTAATGACTTAAAATAATCTACCAGACGGACATTAAAATTAAAGTTCATCTACCCTATTTCCAAAGTTATGGCAAATTGTTTTATTCACAGGTTCACACTTTAGGCAGATCACGACCATAGCTCTAGTCCATGTGGACGCTTCTGAAAATCTACCCGAAATAGAGAGCCAAGTCTATGAAGGTTCTCCAAAGAGTATCATACTGCCTGTAAGACGGATGAAGAGGACTGCAGCTCAAGCTATGCTGGATAAAAGAGAAGAACTAGTGGCAGTGAGGGGAAATAAAGGTAAATGTCGATCTTCAATACTTTAGTTTTTCTTTAGTTTCCATCATATTTATACATTCGGTCAATCAATGGCGTAACTACAGTTTGGCAATACGGTAAAATGCCTCAGATCTCTAGCTGGAAGGGTTTTCATCGGAACTGCTGTGTTTTTTATTGGGAATGGGGGCGCTCTCAATGAAATTTCTATCAGGCCCGAACGGTACAGTTACGTTACGTTATGCTGAGTGCTGCTAAAAGGTGTGTCGTTATATGGTACCTAACTATTTCAATACATTAGCTCCTATTTTAGTGTTATTAACATTTAAAATATCTTTTTCGCAGAATCTAGACTTGAAATCTCAGCAGATAGTAATCACGCGTCTTTCGAAGACATTGAAGAAATGAGGAATCGAAAACGAAAGTTATCTCATGTGACAGAACCAGAAATAAATCAAGAAAGCGTTTCAGAAAAAAGCAATGAATTTAATGGAAGTACACATGACTTAACAGATGTGACGTCATCATCGCAAAATGGCGCCAACTTCAACATTTCTAAACGGAAAACGTCAGATGATTTGGGTGAAGTTTTAGCGCGAATCTTGAATGACAGTGAAAATAATGTTAAAAATATTCGTTCGTATAGAAAAAGAAAAAAATTTGAAAATGTTTCCGTTCAGACCAGTGAGAATGTATCATGGGATGATATTCGTAAAGATTTATTTGTTGGTGTGCCGAAAATTATGCGGCTTTGCTCATGTGTTGATCATGTTTGTCAGTAATTTTATAATTAGAAGTAGAAGGTGCTTAGGTACATGTTACCCACATTAATTATGTTTCGAAAACATATTAAGTTTATGTACTATGAATTAATTATTATTTATACCGTTTTTAATCATTTCTATGTTTATTTTGTGTTAATTATTAAACAAGTTACTACATTATTTAGTATATGAGTCGCTCTTATGTTTTGTTTTGTTATACAATTATAATAAAATGTTTTTATAATAACTATCGTGATATATATTGAATTAATCCCTCTGTAGTTCGAAACTAGTAGAGCTTTCTCAGTATTTTCACGTGAGTAACCCACGACTTGTAGTTAAAAATAAATATGTTTATGAGTTTGATTATTTCTTTTTTTATGGAAAAGGAAGGAGTAATCGAGTAGGATAGAATCAACCATTATAATACTCAATCTACAGGATGTCTCATGGCAGAGTTAGGATTTTGAAATGAAATAAAAGTCAATTTGTATATTTTTGTGAAAAGATTTTTATTGAAAACTATTGAACTATAATGCGCATTTTATTTTTTAAAGATTACATCTTCCAGATGTCTTCCATTTCGTAGCACGCACTCACGGAATCGATTCATCGCATTATGCATAACGCGCCTAAGCATAGCCGGCTCGACGTCGCGTATTTCTTGTTGGATATTTTGTTTTAGCTCAGCGATATTCCTCGGAATATTGACGTAAACTTTACTCTTAAGGTACCCCCATAGGAAAAAGTCCATGGGGGTCAAATCTGGTGATCGCGGAGGCCACGCAATATCACCAAAGCGGGATATCAATTTTTGAGGAAACAATTTACAAAGTTGGTCCATAGTGGCTCTTGCAGTGTAACAAGTGGCTCCATCCTGCTGAAACCACGTTCTTGAGCTGTAGGCTGGATGCTTTCGAAGTTGGGGTATAAAATAATTGGATATCATTTGCCGATAAGCCTCACCAGAAACAGTTATCGCAGCACCTGTCGCATTTTCAAAAAAATACGGCCCGATTATTCCATTGACCGAAAGAGCACACCACACTGTCACTTTTGGGCTATGCAGCGGTCTTTGATGTTTTTGTCTGGGATTGACTTCTGACCAAAAGCGTCAATTTTGTTTGTTAACATATCCATTCAAATGGAAATGTGCTTCATCACTCCCAAACACAGTATTCAAAGTGCGAAATCAATGATTGTCTGGCAAAAACTTTTACGTAAATTGTAGTCATTTTCATTTATTTCCTGCACTATCTGTATTTTATAGGGATGGAATTTCAAATCACGTTTTAAAATCCGCTCTACGGTTGATTTGGTAACGTTTAAAGCCGCCGCTCTTTTGCGTATTGACAAGCGTGGATTACGTCGAACGCTAGCTGCAACTTCGTTTATTGTTTCTTCCGTTCTTGAAGTTCTGCTTGGGCTCGGACGCGGTTGATTTATAGCGGAACCGGTAGCTCGAAATTTGATAACCCATTTACGAATCAAATTTTCGCTTGGTCCATCGCGTAAACGTCTGATATTGTAGTGAGGACAAAACTGTCTTCGAGCCACGACGTTCTCCACCTTTCAAAAAAGGCTTCGATAGCGAACGCGCAGTGCTCACCCGACCACCTTGCAACGGTTTTTAAAATATTCAAATTTAAAAGCCTAACTCTGCCGTGAGACATCCTGTACTAGTAACTAACGAGTAATCAAGGCGGCCTGTAAAATAAGTATAGGGGAACTGCCCGTAGACATCCGCAACACCAAAGGAGGTCAAGTGCTACGTACAATAAACTTTTTACCACAACTGAATCCATTTCATTTCAAATGCCGCACACAACCACCGCTGGCGGGGACTCTTTCCGGGGCCTGCTGGCTCGTGGTTCCTGAGCCAGTTGGTGGCCGACTTCTTCCCGGCCGACGTGTACGTGGTGGCGACCACTTCTTGAATGAACCCATTCCATAGACGTTCCTGAACGACTCATCTAAACGTCATTTACGTCACTCATTTCAAAAAAGTGAGGTTACGTTGTCAAATCCAGTTTCACGTATTATTTTATGTTTGGTTGTATGAACGAGTAATATTTCATAATAAAATCTTTAATTAAACTGTAGCTATTAAAAATGTTTCTCTACCAAGGCCCTGTGAAGGAATTAGACGATAAATTCGTTACTTTAATTGGTAAATTTGTAGCCGATATTAAACATGGGTAAGTTGTATCAAAAAAATAATTTGTTACAGTTTTAGTGACTAAAATTTGATATCCATGTATGTAAACATCATTATGGTACTATCTGTCATCCTTACAGAACATGGATACTTTGTTTTATTGGCCAAATATAATATAATAGACTATTATTTGCATATGTGTTCTATGTCGCTGATTGCATCAGAAATTGTATTATGCTGTATCAGCAATAATATCTATAGACTTGATAACGTCAGAAATATATTAAAAATAGCAAATTTTGTAATTTTTACTGTATTATACAGCTTTCTAAGTCAAACCTGTTTTTTTCTTGCTATCTTACCTATGTCTTTTGTCTTGTTGAGAAAGTCTACATAAAGGAGGAAAATAATTAATTAAATCTCTCAAAGATTTGTAATAGAACCACAACATATTATGAACAGCATCGCAGTCGCCCGGAGGCTTAAACCATTGTGTGTCTAAATGTGAATGCACACGAGACACTATGTAGTTTCTATTGTGTCTTATATACGGGCATTCAAGTGGTGAAACCGCCCACTTCTCATGTATAATATAGTGTACCGTTTTCTGAGACGATGAGAGAAGAATAGTCGAACCTATGCGGCGACCGATAGGATCTAGTTACTAGATTCCTGACTGAATCTAAATAATCAGAGGTTCCGTGGTGAGTCAAACAAAAAATTGACATGTTAATCATACATAGTACGTAATTGTATATTACAGGAAGATCCGAGGTTCTACCAACAGAGTGCTGGCGATGGTGACACTGCTGGAAACCATAATCACAGAGTCTCAGTATACTACAGCTGTGTAAGTATTTTTTATGCAATAAGTCAGTAGAGCGTAAGCGAGTAGACTGATCATCTGATGGTAAGCAATCGGCGTCGCCTATAGACACCCAGAACACCAGGGGCCTTACATGTGTAATCCCCTTTGGGGATTAGGAATTGAAGATTTAGGCTCTTAATGAGGAGTTATTAGGGTGAGGCAAAATCTTAAAACCCTTCACTTGTACAGTTATGTGTCATTTATCCTAACTTAGGTGTTGTTTTTATAATAACTATCGTGAGACATACTAAATAAACTAAAAATCGAAAAATCGCGGGTTACTCACGTGAATATACTGAGAAAAGCTCTACTAGTTTAGAGTAGAGTGGGATCGCAGTGCAAGTAATAACACCGATGCAAGCGCCAACGCTACCCAGTAGGCTGCGCGACATCGCCGCGACAGCGCACGCTGCTCATGAGGAAGAACCCCTCTGTGGTTCGAAACTAGTAGAGCTTTTCTCAGTATATTCACGTGAGTAACCCGCGATTTTTAGTTACTTATGTTATATTATAAGTGAAATAATAATATTATGTATTTTTAATTTGATTTCGTAATTTCAATAATAATATGTAATGTTACATTAATGTTGGTAAATGATTATAGCTTTATCTTATTTATTTATACTTTATTGCACACACAGAAAAAAAAATTGTAAACATTGCAATAGTAATTTGAGTACAATGGGCGGTGTTACCACACGCGGCGATTTCTTCCAGACAACCTTTGGATGGAATTTTTTAAAAGAATCTGGGGATGGGTGGTAGTAGTAATAATAAGTTCTCAGCTGTCGTATATAATGCGCTGTAATGATAGTTTAAGGTGTTTTTAAATATAAATAAATAAACTTAAAGGTTTCTTAAAATTTATAAAAGTTTGGTGCAATCGGACCGTAGTATTCTTAATTAACTAAAATCGCGGGTTACTCACGTGAATATACTAAGATAAGCTCTCAGAAAATCTCAGTGAGCTGCGCGACGTCACCGCGACCGCGCACGCTGCTCATGAGGAAGAGCCCCTCTGTGGTTCGAAATTAGTATAGCTTATCTCGCGATTTTAGTTTATTTAGTATGTCTCACGATAGTTATTATAAAAAAGTAGTATTCTTTATGTGCGCTCATTACCTACACTCTGTCTTAGCGTGATGGCGTGATCTTGTAAATACCAAGAAGAAACTAAAGAAGTATTTATTTTTCTTTAGAGATCTATGCGGCGCCATCCGCGCTGCCGGTCGGCAGGTAATGGCTGCTCTTCCAAACGAGCTGGTGATAGCCAACGTAGCTAGGAGGCTGCTCAGAGCCATCCGCGATGAGAACAGAGCTCAAGGGAACCAGGTAACTTAAAATTCCAACATAACATAACATCACGCCTTGTTATCCCCGAAGGTTAGGCAGAGGTGCACATTATGGCACTTAATGCCACTGTACAATGTAACACCCACTTTTCACTATTTATGTTATGAGTCCCATGTAATAGGGGGTGAGCCTATTGCCATGTAGCGGGCACATTTCCAGACTCCGTGCTACTACTGAGATTTTTTAAAACCCTGTAATACTTTGCTCGACTCGGGAATCGAACCCGAGACCCCTTGCCCGGCAGTCGCACTTGCGACCACTCGGCCAACGAGGCAGTTAAAATTCCACTTGCGATAATTAAGACATGTTCATCGTCATCTTTGGTCTATAAGTATCTCACTGCTGGTCTCTTCTCACACGGAGAACGTTTGAGCATTAATCACCACGCTTGCTCAATGCGGGTTAGCGATTTCAAACTGATAATTAGACATTATAAGCCCAGGTTTCCTCACGATGTTTTCCTTCACCGTTTGTCTGGATGCACATTAATTCTTATTCACAATTATTATTATTAGCTCATGAATATTACAGCTCAATTATTTAGTACTAATTATTGTTTCTTTATAATTCCAGGGCATAGAAGGTTCTGGGGAGAGTCTCCAGCGGTTGGTGCTGGCGGCTAGCGCTCGGCGTGCCACGCTAGGTACAGCCCAGCATGATCTGAGAGAACCATTAAGGGATTACATCGCTGAGGTAAATCTTATACTATTATATAAAGCGGAAGAGTTTGTTGTTTTGTTTGTTTGTTTGAACGCGCTAATCCCCGTAACTACAATTCTGATTTGAATAATTCTCTTTGTGTTGGATAGCGCATTTATCGAGGATGGCTATAGGCTATAAAACATCACGGTACGACCAATAGGAGCCGAGCAGAGCGTGTGAAACCGCGTGGAAGTAGCTAGTATACTATATATATAAATAAACATGAATTTCCATTCGTCAGTCTCGCTAAAACTTTTAATTGTGGGAGAGCCATGCTTCGGCACGAATGGGTCGGCTCGACCGGAGTGATACCACGGCCGAGCAGAAAACTGACGTGAAGCTACGCTTGCGTTGTGTTTCGTCGTGTGAGTGAGGTTACATTACATTGGCTGGTATCACCAGCGTCATATCAATCCGCGGAAGACTTATCGGGTTACCGGGGCTCCGGCTCGACGTGCAGGAGAAGGAACGGGGTAGTTTTTAGTCAGTAAGAGCCTGACACTCCCTTCCGCCTCACCCAGGCAAGAGTAGTCATTCGATGATTTTCCCCCTTAAAAAAAAATACTTCTTTCGTTACTTTACTTTCATCCATCCTTTCTACATGTCCAAAATAGCGTCATTTCAATACATTAATTTTCATTCCTTATCTCTTTCCAGCTGCGAGGCGAGCTGGAATCCAGCATATCCAGTATATGCGGTCAAGCTCGGGAACACGTACATGGAGACGAGCTGATCCTCACGTACGGAGCCAGCCCCATCACTGAGAGGTTCCTCCGCGCTGCAGCTCCTCGGAAGTATAAGTTGATATTGGCTGAAGGGCCTGATCCTACTGAGGTATATTTATGTTTATTTCAGGAGTTTTACAGCGAGTTGACTGTCTTGATAGCCGAGTGGTCGCAAGTACGATTGCTGGGCAAGGGGTCTCGGGTTCGAATCCCGGTTCAGGCAAAATATTACTGTGTTTTTTTAAAAGTGCCACTGCCCGGCAAGGACCCGAGCCATCGGGATAAATTCCCGGGTCGAACTAAGTATTACTGGGTTTTTAAACAATTCTCAATAGTAGCACGGAGTCTGGAACTGTGCCCGGTATATGACAATAGGCTCACCCCCTATTACATGGGACTCTTAACAAAAATAGTGAATAGTGGGTGTTACATTGTACAGTGGCATTAAGTGCCGTGATGTGCACCTCTGCATACCCTCAGGAAATAAAGGCGTGATGTTATGTAGTGTACCTTTGTTTTAATAAATTTTGTATTCTCCAATTAATTATTTGTATTTTAGTATTTTCGATTATTGAGTTTAGTTTAGCCAAGAATTTGTTCATTTTTGTTTTTCTTTATGATTTTGTTATATTTGAACGTAACATAGATTTAGTTTTTTAAGGCCTAACTATCGCAGTGGAGAAACCTGTCATGTTGGTTTAGGTAAGGTTTTATATAAATAAATAAATAAAATCTTTCCGTACAGAGTCATGCGATGGCCAACCGCCTGAGTGCAGCCGGGGTGCCGGTGACCGTCATCAGCGCGGCTTCCATCTACGCTGTCATGTCACGAGTTAATAAGGTATAACATAATTGTGTTACATTCATATCTTATGCTATTTATATATCTCCGGCCACCGTAAGCGCGGGCCTGCGGACGGCGAGCATGGGTGGCTCCCCGTCCGACCAGAAACAGACCCGAGCGTACGGCGCCGAGCGTTCCGCGCGCGCCTCCAAGAGCCATTAGACTACCACAGATGGGGCCCAACAGGGCCGATGCCGATTCGGAGTCGCGGTGAACCTCCCTCGCGCCTCACCCAGGCGGGAGCAGTCACTCGATGATTTTCCCCCCTTAAAAAAAGTGGCTCATATTCATGAAACTAGTCGAGTTCCTCGTCTATCAGTTGTGTGAGTGAGCTGAAGACATAATTAATTTGGTGTTGCATTGTTCTCACTCAATCGAACCAATAAAACTATGTAACTAGATAATTGTATTGTGGACCTGATTGAAAAAGTGTAACCTATGGAGTTTCTTCCTCGTTCTTCTACATAGGAATCTACACCTTGGAATGAGCAAATAGCTTCACTTTAAATTTTTCGTTGATATTCAAAAGTGCCTTCCTGGTCTAATAGGGTATTTTCCTGAATTTTATTTTAATGTCCGTCTGGTAGATTAATTTAAAACTTTATGTCGGAATACTGAAGCGCTACTTAATTTTAAGTCGCGCTTAAATATAGTTCTGTCTCCACAAATTCTTTGTAAAATGACAGAGATGGCACGATATTTGAGCACGACTTAAAATTGAGTAACGTTTCAGTATTCCGGCATTAGACACGTATTTTTTCATTCACAAAATTAAATACTTTTGACGATATATTAATTTGAAATATCGTGTGACGTCACAGCGTGCCACACATACCACGTTATGACCTCCCACTCCTAAAGTTAGCGCCATTTTATCTAAGTATTGCAACTTAATACGAGAAAATAAAAAAATACGTGTCTAATATTTTTTCATTATCTAACTGACGGACTAATTAGATTTTTAATTTAGGTACTCTGGAAACTACCCAATTGAAATATATGATTTTGTTTTTGCACGGAACAAGTCTTTGTGTGATCCACAAATTGTTGTTCCGTGTCAGTGTATAATGTGTTTGTGAACTTGTATGTTTGTAAATGTATACACGACACAGGAGACAATCCTAGTGTGGGGGCAATGTTGTTTTTAAGAACTAAAAACTGAATGTTCTACATTATAATTTACTTTTACACAATATACACACCCCCTATTACATGGGACTCATAACATAAATAGTGAAAAGTGTGTGTTACATTGTACAGTGGCATAATGTGCACCTCTGCCTACCTCTTCGGGGATAAAAGGCGTGATGCTATGTTATGTTATGTTGATGTTAACGTGGACTTTGACATTCCCAGGTGGTGATCAGCGTGAAGGCAGCGCTGGGTGGTGGCGCTATATTATCGGAAGCTGGTGTCTTCTCCGTCACTCTAGCTGCTAGACATTATCGAGTACCTGTAAGTACAATTTTATTATGGTATTTTTTTTAAGAGGGGAAAATCATCGAATGACTGCTCCCGCCTGGGTGAGGCGGGAGGGAGTGTCAGACTGTTACTGACTAAAAACCACCCCGTTCCTTCTCCTGCACGTCGAGCCGGAGCCCCGGTTACCCGTTAGGTTCTCCGCGACTTTTTTATGGTATAAGCCGGTAAACGAGCAGACGGATCACCTGCTGGTAAGCAATCGGCGTCGCCCATTGACACCTGAAACACGAGCTGCGTTACAAGTGCGTTACCAGCCTTTTGCGGATTGGGATTTCAAGGATTGTAGGGGATTCAGGGAAGGGGGATAATTGGGCTTCCAGTAGCCTCACTCACACGACGAAACAGTTTTTAATAGATAGAGTGATGCTTAAGGAAGGTTTATATGTATAATACATGTATATTGCACCCGTGCGAAGTGGGCGTGGGTCGCTGGTGTAGTATAAAAAAAGCTGAAATATTTGTTTCTCAAAAACTACTCGCTCGAATTGAATAATTCTGTTTGTGTTGGATAGTCTATTTATCGAGGAAGCCTATAAACATCTGCCTGACTGGCCGATTGGTCGCAAGTGCCACTGCCGGGCAAGGTGCCTCGGATAGATTTCCGGGTTGAAGGAAGTATTAGGCAATAGACGCACCCCCTATTACATGGGACTCATAACATGAATACTAAAAAGTGGGTGTTACATTGTACAGTGGCATTAAGTGCCGTAATATGCACCTCTGTCTATCCCTTCGGGGATGAAAGGAGTGATGTTATAATATGCTATAAACATCAAGCTACGATCAATAGGCGCCGAGCAGAGTGGGTGACAGCGTGGGAGGCGCTAGTCATGAATATTATACATTATCTAAAACTCGATTATTATTATTAGTTAATTTAGTATGTCTCACGATAGTTATTATATAAAAAAAGCATATGATACACAACAACAACATAACATCACGCCTTTTATCCTCGAAGGGGTAGTCAGAGGTGCACATTATACCACTGTACAATGTAACGGGTCGGGCAAAGTATTACTGGGTTTTTAAAAAATTATCTGTGCCCGGTATATGGCAATAGACTCACCCCCTATTACATGGGACTCATAACATAAATAGTGGAAAGTGGGTGTTACATTGTACATATGATACACATTATTATTTTATCTGCCCAGGTGCTGGCTCTTGTACCCCTATACAAATTGTGTCCGATACACGATTTGACTCCCTTCAACTCGTCCGGCTCGCCACACACAGCACTGTCATACGAGTGAGTACCATTGATTTACTATTGTCTTTTTTATGGTATAAGCCGGTAAACGAGCAGACGGATCACCTGATGGTAAGCAATCGGCGTCGCCCATGGACAGCTGGAACACCAGTGGCGTTACAAGTGCGTTACCGGCCTTTTGGGAATTAGGAGTTTGAGGATTGTGGGGGATTCGGGGATTGGGGAGTCTGGGGAGGGGCGGGTGTAATTGGGCTTCCGGTAACCTCACTCACAAAGCTAAACACAACGCAAGCGTTGCTTCACGTCAGTTTTCTGCTCGGCCGTGGTATCACTCCGGTCGAGCCGGCCCATTCGTGCCGAAGCATGGCTCTCCCACACTCTTTTAAAAAAAAACATAGGCTTTTTAGTCCCGGGAAGCGGGCGAAGCCTGGTAGAAGCTAGTTTATTTAATAATAAATGACTATACTTCCAGCCACCACGAAGCCACAAGCGACAACGTTCACGTGTACGCTCCGTTGTACGACTTCGCGCCGCCAGACAACGTCACCCTGTTCATTACCAATCTGTAAGTATGCGAGATGATATCCGAACTATTATAAGAAGGGACTGCCTCGTTGGCCGAGTGGTCGCAAGTGCGACTGTCGTGCAAGGGGTCTCGGGATAAATAGTGCCTAGTTATTATGTAATTTATACTTTTGGTAATAATTATAGATGTAGTTAATTGTAGTGTGTAATTAGGTTCCCTCTTTACTTTATAGAAATTGACTAAATGTATTATAATAAAAAAATTGTATGACAAGGGCACGGACTTAGAGTCCGTGGAGAATTAATCTATAATATTATAAAAAAGGGGTCTCGGGTTCGATTCCCGGGTCGGGTAAAGTATAACTGGGTTTTTAAAAATCTCAGTAGTAGCACGGAGTCTGGAAATGTGCCCGGTATATGGCATTAAGCTACCGCCTATTACATGGGACTCGTAACATAAATAGTGAAAAGTGGATGTTACATTGCACACTGGCATTAAGTGCCGTAACGTGCACCTCTGCTTACCCCTCCGGGGAATAAAGAGCGTGATGTTATGTTTTTTTTAAATAATCACACTGGCACAAAGTTAATGTTATTTTCAATTATTTTAATTTCAAACAATGACACTATTTCTTGTCCACAGTGGCGGCAGTTCCCCATCCTACATGTACCGTATGCTGTCAGAATTATACGACCCCAGCGACTACTTATTGTAGCCGACTTCCAACGAAACCGACTTCTAGACGACTTCCAACGAAATTGACTGACTTCTAAATGTATTGGGTGATTTTTTCTACAATTAGGGTGACTTCGAAATGTATTGGTTGACTTCTAATTGTTCTATTCTGTATGTTGTCGGCTGAATTCTTATTACATGGGGTGAAATAGCGAAATTTATATTAATACATATGTAATATGTATATCACTACATAGTATAAAACAAAGTAGCTACCCGCCGTCTGTCTGTCCCTATGTATGCTTAGATCTTTAAAACTACGCAACGGATTTTGATGCGGTTTTTTAATAGATAAAGGAAGGTTTATTATATAAGGTGTTCTATAATTTTATGCCGCGGCTTTAATGGGAGGTAGTGTTATGTTTACAGATTACAATTGTGAAGAAATTTCGTACCCCGGACCAGTTAATTACATACAGTAATTAAGTAAACATTGACTACATTCTGCATAATGTGGTTCACAAATTACGCGCGATGCGTCGCTTAGTCAATGAAAACAATTGCTATCTCTTTCCACGTGTACTGAGAATGAAAACGGAAATCAGCTGACTAGTTCGTCACTATCTAATCTACTAGATACTCAATAGGCAGGCTAACAAGGGTTTTAAAAGTGCAATTACTTACCAGGTACGGCATTCTTCCGAAAAGCTGATGTAGGTAAATAAGATTATAAACTTCCCATCACACTTAAAACAGTTTTTTACACACTCTCTACCTACTTATCTACAAAACTGTTGCACAAGTCCACCTTCGCGTTGCACACAAATAAAGGCACGCTTCCAAACATGTCATATCACATTATTTAACGTGTCCGTTTCACTTTTACTTTGTTTCGCGTTTGACTCCACAAGTTATTGTCACTATCATCGTAAACTCCGGCGGTATCCCTTGTGCACGCAAGAAGATGACACCGAAAGAACTCTAACACTTCCTCTTCGAGTTCTGATTTGAATTTCGTCGCCTGGGAGTCATTTTTACGTAGCGCGCGCGTATCTCCGACATTAAAACTAACGTGCGGGCAAGCAGGGGTTGACGGGGCTACTGGCGGCCGGGCGGCGCGTGCGACGAGTTCTGCTGGGGTGTTGTCTCGTTCTTGAACGCCCCGTCATACGTTGTTGCCATCCTTATCAGACCGCTCGCGCCGGGCGGCTAAGAGCACGCTGCACACCCCCGCGCGCCCGCACCCTCTCCTGCACTCGTCGCACGCGCTGGTCAACCGGCCGCCGGGCAGGCGGGGGTTGAGCTACTGATAAGGATGGCAACAGCGTATGACGGGGCGTTCAAGAACGAGACAGCACACCCCAGCCAGCAGAACTCGTCGCACGCGCCGCCCGGCCGCCAGTAGCCCAGTCAACCCCTGCCTGCGCGGACGTTGTTAGTTTCAATGTCGGGGATACGCGCGCGCTACGTAAAAATGACTACCAGGCGACGAAATTCTAATCAGAACTCGAAGAGGAAGTGTTAGAGTTCTTTCGGTGTCATCGTCTTGCGAGCACAAGGGATACTGCCGGAGTTTACGATGATAGAGACAATAACTTGTGGCGTCTTTTAAATCAAACGCGAAACATAGTAAAAGTGAAACGGACGCATTAAGTAATGTGATATGACATGTTTGGAAGCGTGCCTTCATTTGTGTGCAACGCGAAGGTGGACTTGTGCAACAGTTTTGTAGATAAGTAGGTAGAGAGTGTGTAAAAAACTGTTTTAAGTGTGATGGGAAGTTTATAATCTTATTTACCTACATCAGCTTTTCGGAAGAATGCCGTACCTGGTAAGTAATTGCACTTTTAAAACCCTTGTTAGCCTGCCTATTGAGTATCTAGTAGATTAGATAGTGACGAACTAGTCAGCTGATTTCCGTTTTCATTCTCAGTACACGTGGAAAGAGATAGCAATTGTTTTCATTGACTAAGCGACGCATCGCGCGTAATTTGTGAACCACATTATGCAGAATGTAGTCAATGTTTACTTAATTACTGTATGTAATTAACTGGTCCGGGGTACGAAATTTCTTCACAATTGTAATCTGTAAACATAACACTACCTCCCATTAAAGCCGTGGCATAAAATTATAGAACACCTTATATGTATAATACATGCATATTGCACCCGTGCGAAGCCGGGGCGGGTCGCTAGTTGTACATAAGACCATGAAAATGTTAATAATATATTAAAACCTGCTCCTAAGTGTAAGAATCTGCCGGGTTACCGCCGTGGGATCTGGAGACGAAGGTGCGCGTGTATCGCATGCGCGCGGAGGCACGTCGCCGGCGACACTCCGCTGCCGCGCCAGGTCACTGCGGGGCGGGATGAGCTCCGGCGCGATCTCATGGCGGAATGGCAGCAACGACTGTCGCAACCGAGGGCTGGGCTCGCTGCCATTGCAGCGGTAAGACCCCTCTTTGAGGAGTGGCTTGAGAGACGCTACGGCGTCCTCACCTACCGCCTGACGCAGGTCCTCACCGGACATGGAAGTTTCGGGAGGTACCTGCGTCTGATGGGGCGGGAGGAAACGCCCGGGTGTCATCACTGCGAGGACCGCCCTGAGGACACGGTGGAACACACAGTGGGAGAATGCCCTGCGTGGGCTGAGCACCGCCGTGCCCTCAGGCAAATGATCGGCGATGGCGACCTCTTGCGTCCGGGCCTAGTGCAGGCCATGATGCGGAGCGAGGGGGACTGGGATGCCGTCTCCTCCATTAACGAAGCAGTTATGCTAGCTAAGGAGGAGGCGGGACGCGCGACCAGAACCAGACCCGAGCGGCGCCCGCGCCTCAAAGAGCCATCAGACTACCACGGGCCCAATAGGGCTGATGCCGATACGGAGCCGCGGAAGACTTATCGAGTTGCCAGGGCTCCGGCTCGAAGTGCAGGAGTAGGAACGGGGTGGTTTTTAGTCAGTAAGAGTCTGATACTCCCACCCACCTCACCCAGGCGGGAGCAATCATTCGATGATTTTCCCCCATTAAAAAAAGTCCTATAGAGTTTCTGCCAAAAGCCCTATCCATATATTTTGAATCGACGATAGATTATTAATTTCAGCCGATGACATAATAGGATGACTTCGTTGTTAGTTCGGCTGACTTCGTGGGACGTCAGAGGAAGTCGGCGTACTTTTGTTTAGATATGAATTGATCCATCTGTTACGTGTTCAATGATTACTTAGATATTAATTAATATATGTCAAAGACGATAGATAATTTTACTAAAACTACAAATGGGTCTCTTGAAACCAATTCCGATCGATCGACATTGTTTATTTATTTATTAAAACTTTATTGCACATATAGTGAAATTGGCGGACTTAATGCCGTAGGCAGTTTCTGACATTCGACCATTGGGTGGTGCAGAATGTTAAAGCGGTAGGTGCAAAATTGTAAAAAGAAAGTATGAAGTAGATAACGAAGTTAAGGTAATACAATATTGAAGAGGGAAGACATGATTGTTATAGTCGATAATACATAACTAAGGGTATAGGGTCTTAAAATGAATTATATAATAAATATAATATATCCCAAATATGCATACATATAATATAATACATACATATATAAATAAATGCAATACATAGACTACATATTACCACTGTTTTGAGTTTGCCACTTTCTATAAATGTGTTCCCGAACCTTAAATTTAAATGAACAGCGATTATTTGTTTGTTATTGTTATTGTTTTCTACTCTTGAGTTGCAACACTAGCGCCCATTGCATTCGTATTGCGTGGATATTGAATGAACTAAATGGTATTGAGTTTGTCTTTATATTCCGTACTCTGAATACTATTGTAACAGCTACGATTGTGATTGTATAGTGTTGACATTGAATAATTATTGAGATTTTTTTGGGTTGAAATTGCATTGACATTGAGATTGGTTTCAAGAGTAGGCGACCCGATAACGGGCGTTGCTGTATGCATGTGTAGTCGTTGGGGGAGGATTGGGGGAAGCCGTGGACAGTACGTGGCTGTACGCATGATGATAATAGGATAGATGCCTAATTTTTATTTTAATGTCCGTCTGGCAGATTATTTTTACCCGACTGCCAAAGAAGGAGGGTAATGTTTTTCGAGTGTATGTAAGTATGTATGTATGTCTTTTCCTTTGTGACCACCTGTAGCCTAAACGGCTTGATGGATTTTGATGTATGAGGTATCGTTAGATTTGTCTTGATTACGGGAGTGTCATAGGATACATTTTATCCTAAAAGTCCCACGGGATAAAGACATAATAATATTTTTTCTAAATTTCCCTTTAAAAAAATATGTATGCGGTATCATTAGATTCATTTCAATCACGGGAGTAATTAATATAGGATACGTTTTTTCTCAAAATTCCCACGGGAACATGTTAATTCTGCGTCAACGCAAAGCAACTCATGCGTTAGCAAGCAAAAAGATAGGGCGTGGCCTGGCATGCGGCGCGCGGCGCGGTGCGGAGGGGGATATGCTCGAGTATACAGCCCGATTGCGGGCACACGCATGAGGGCACACGTCGTTGACGGTCGTCTCTAAATAGCGATTTTTTCGATACTTCGTCGTCTGACGCGAAACTTATAAAGTATAAATAACTCGTTCTTTTTTTTTTCTTTCGTGTTTCTCTCTTTAAATTTATTCGTTCTTTCTAATTAATTAACTCGTTCTTCCGTTCTTTTTTTTTGGTTCTTTCTTAAATTCTTCATATTAATTAATAATGTAATATTGTTGATGATGATTGTTCTTGGTGGTGGGTTCTCAGGGGCGTGAAATAACGTTCGACACACGAATGACTGTAAACTGTATATATTGGAAATAAACTAAATATAAAACAAAGTTGCACAATAATATAAAAATCTCAAAGAATATTCGCGGCACAAATATGGGCGTGTGCGTCGCGGCTCCGGCGCGGGACTCGTTCCCTCTAGCGTCGAGCGGTCAGTGGCGGGGAAGCGGGGGAAGAGAAAATAGTGTGGTGGCGCGTTGCCACTAGAGTAGCGCGCGTGCGTTCGACACAAACCAAAATCGAATTGCCGCGTTACATCCTCCCCCTCTGACCTAGACATAGCGCCCTCGCGTCTGGGTCAGTTTAGAAATCGCTTGGGTTTTCCGCGCCTACGCTTATCGATAACAGGCGGAATCAGTACATCGCCCACGAAAGGAGTCGACTGTAAGACGCGGTACTTACCCGAATTCTCGCCACTATCTAGTTTACGACGTGATTTAGACCTCGGAGTCTGTCCACGGGGCGCATCGTCGCTGCC